TTCAGGGCTTTCCACCTGCACTTTGACCGCGTATTTGTTCTTTCGTCTTTTGCGTGCGCGATATCTATCGCTATTACTCATCGTCGCACAGCCGAGAAACTCAAAAGCCTTTAGAGCCTGTTAAGGGTCTTTACGGTCGAACGTTATTTTGTGCCTGTTCGCACTGAAGGGAGCCAAAGTTCAGAGTTGCATGCTGCGGAAATTCATTTCTAGTATGGCATTACCTGAAGGCTCGGCGAACTTTCTCATTGCTGCTGCAGTTGCTACTTTGCATGTAGTATTGGGGTCTGGATTGTCAATTCATTGATGCAGTTTTTCTGTAACGGCACCATATCACTTGCACTAGGAGTCGCAGCAAGTGCCTCCCTTTTGCAAAATAACTCCAAGTTATGGGTACGGTGAGCAGAACACTGCATCATTAGGCATCTTACTCTCGTACAGATGTATTTAAAGGACTATAACGGCATGAGGAAGGCAACTCGAGCGGTGTAACTTCCTATCAACTGAAGCGGTTAACCAAGCGGGAGCTGACCAACAAGCGGGAGCTGACTGAAATGTGCGCTGGCTTCGTGGACTGTAACGACGACTGTAACCAAAAACTACTGTAAAGAAAAACTATGTTAGATACGAAGCAACACACAAAGCCACGTAAGCAGCAAAGCATCTCCAGGCATTTTGCCGGTGGCCTGTCATTGCCCAGTCTCAGACATGGATCCATTAAACAACTTGAAAGCGATGTTCATAAGAGCGCCGATGCCTATGCTGGCCTCTCAAGAAAAGCGGCTCCACGTACAGAGATGCGGAATTCCGATCCGCGGAGTGAGACACAGTCTATGAAAAATCAACTCCAGCGTTGACTAGTTCCCTCGTGCTAACTACACCACTGCTCCCTTATTTATCTACCAAGTGGTACTTTTGGGTCTAGCTCCCCAACCCTTGTCCCTACTCGGTGGATGCTCCGGGAGGGCCACCTTCAATCGAGTCCGGATCTTGCTTGTCCTCACTCGGTGCACTGCTGGGTGACGATGCCGCAAAGGCAGGGAGCTGAAAGGGTTGGAAATCCGTATCCGCTTCGGGCTTCCAGGAGCTGGGCAAACGGCGGTTGATGTCCCTGTCTAAGGGATCGTCAAAATGGGGAGTTTTTAGCAGCAGAGCCGGGCGTACTGACGAGTGCACTTTGCTTTGATGCTTTGTCCAGAATGACCCAAAACTCTGTCGGTGACGGAGGGCATCTCTAGCGAGAAGTGCACGGCCTTCTTCATCCCACGTTATGTAATCTTCTGCTTTTAGTAGCAGTTCGCCGCTCGGGTGATGCTGAAAAGGAGACTTTTTCCTGAATGTTAGAAGTCTCTCAGGAGGGCAGAAAAGCTTGATTGCCTCGACGGGGCACTGCACGTCGACCTTCAGTGTCAAGTCTGAGAATAATCAGTGCTCCCAAGGCAGTACTCGTGTGCTTAGTCACTTTGGAAGGCAACACACGCCACTCTTGCTAAAACAACTTTTCACGCGGAAAATTGGAGATTTCACGGGCTGACGCTGTCATAATTGCATATTCACTGCACAGTTGCTCTCGCTCAAAGGGCGCGGAAGGGAGAAAACGTACCAACAACCATGCTAACGGTTCCCGCAAGATTTTCTTGCTTGTCCCTTGCAAGGATAGCATTCGTCTCCGCCTCCCTTTGAGCATGAAGCTTTCGCATCCCTTCGCGTTCAATCTTATTCTAGATACACACAAAACAGGGCTTCCATCACCACCTACTTTCACCCTAAGACCGGCACAGCCAAACCAGCACCCTTCCAGAGTGCTTAATCATGTGAATTTTGTATAAATGTGAAAGGCGTTCCGTACTTTCTGAACAATCGTTTCGAGTAATTTCTCCATATCATTTCGAAGCCACTCGCCTTCTGCTTCCGCCTCTGCCCTCGCTCGCTCCCGCAGAGCTCGGGACTTCTCCTGTGCCGTCAAAACTACAGCTGCAGCATCGTCTTCAGCATCCTGAAGTAGGCGAATCGCGGAACGGCTATCCACTTCTATTGATTGAGTCGCCCTGGATAGCGGCTGTGGTACGTCTGAGCGAATGAAGCGGCGAAATATAGCCGAAGCCTAGGAGCGTAACTCCTGAGTTATTCCATGAGCTACTTAATGCTCTTCCAACTACTACAAGGAGCATGAGCAGAAAGGAAAGGACGGCAAAAGTGCTACCAGAATGAGTAGTAGAAAAAATGAATAGTGAAGCAAAGGCCTACATCTTACCTGAGAATAGTTGAGTGATGCTTAAGGGCTGCAAACTCAAGCCACAACAAGAGACAGGCCCTTCATCAAGCCTCCTTGAATTTGAACGCTGGGTGTCACCCTCGCAGGAAACGGCGTTTGAAAGCAGGCCGGGAGAATCTGCAGCTCTCCCATGTGATGCAGCTGCAATGAACACCGGCGTAGGAAAGGACTGCGTGTCCCTGCTATTGATGTGATTCGCCAGGCTGCGCTGACTCGCCGGGACCCTCTCGTTAGGTTCGTACGGAAGTGAAGAAGCGGCCTCCCGGAATTTCTGCAACGACTGGAAGTGCTGCGGCTTGTCTGCTACTTGTGCTGCATACTGCCCAGATGGATTCGCTTTGATCTTGACAGGCAGAGGAGGAGCGCCAGGCTTCGAAGCAGCAACCAGAAGTGCCACCGGGCGCGCGGCCGATGAGCTGGCGTATAAGACGTTGGGCCCCCAAGGCTGTAGTTGCGGGTGGCTGTTTTGGAGCCGTACCGGGTGAGCATGTTCTGTTCTTTGATCTGATGCTCCAGGATTGCATAACTTCAAAATCTGCCGATTAGCATCGACACTAGCCGCTGGAGAAGCACTGGCACAGCTTGATACATGAATAGGGTGAATGGCGCCGGTCGTTCGTTGCAATTGTGGAAATCTCGAGGGAGGTGACGCGGCGTATAAAGGTAAAGAACGATAGCAGTTGCCTGAGAAAATCGAGGGAGGGAGTCTGGCCTCCCTTTGAGGAGAAATTCCCGGTCGAGTGCCTCTGGTGGCGTAGGCCTGGACTGTTTGTGGTCTTCCTTGGTGTTGCTGTAATCCCTGAACATTTGGGGACAGGCTTACAGCCTTGACCACGCCGCTCGTTTTAACTAAACCCTGCGCTTCTTGGGGAGCCGACGAGCTGGGAATGCGAGGCATTGCACCCGGGTGTGGTTCTTTCTCTGCCATCGGGTAGCTTGGTCCTTATCTCCTAAAGTAACCCTGCTAGCTGCTTACCGAACAGACATAACTTATGCACAAGTAATTGTTAATCCCCCACGCCCCATATGGCGGTTTGTCCGAGTGGTTAAGGAGGTGGACTCGAAATCCACTGGGCTCTGCCCGCGCAGGTTCGAATCCTGCAGCCGTCGGTTTTTCATGGGCTCGCTGCATTCAAAGACGGCGTCAGTTTTGATCTTGCAAAAGAGCGTCAAACGAGAGGTTTGGGTATAGAGTGAAACAAAAGCCCTGGAGAACTACGCTTGAGCAGCCAAGCGAGCAGCTGACCAATGGACGAGATGTGGGAGCACAGGACGTCACCTTCTTCCAAAACAATCGGTCAATTGCTCTGCACTCTGCATATACAAGAAAATATGTTGCGGTACCGGCAGCAGAAAGTCTCTCTCGCAAGAAACTGTGTGACGATTGCAGCTGGAAGGGCGCATGCTTCTGGGGGTCGGCGGCACTGTCATTGGACTTACGCACCATTTCACGAGGAGCGACACTTAATATTCGACATTGAAGTATATTTCTGATATGGGATGGAAGCTCAGTTTAGATGTTAGTTGGTGTGACACAACATAGAACACCCCTCGATTTTCCATATGGCTAATGCCAAGTCTACACCGTGATTCAGAACGCTCGCTACAGGGTCTCTTCATGAACGCTTCTGCAACAGTATTTGACCTGAAAGCAGTTGAGCACAGGGGTTGGTTGAATATATCGAACTCTACTGCAAGAAAATCGGTCTGTGAAGAAGATTAAGCTTTCTTGCGTCATAAGATCTTTGAATACACTCGGAGCAACGGTGAGCGGCCCATGTGTCATTAAGGATAAGTCAATCCACCATTGGAATGCATCTACGCTATGCAAGAACTTTCTATTTCGTGAATTTCTTCCATGCTGAAGCCCTTAAAATCGGTCGTCAGTTGCACAGTTGGTTGGAACACAAACGAAGATTCGACACCTTGTGAGACTGCGGACCATCTAATCAATCGTTTCCGGGTAGCTCTTGCCCACGTAAAAGGGAAAGATGCTTAAACGAATGAATAGTTTGTGGCAGCCAGATCTTCATAGCGGCGTCTCTTCGACCTCTCAGACATCAGCATTGGGGAGGGGACTCCATATGGTGTAGTCGCCTCCACAAGGTCACATAGCTCCACAGCAAAACTAAGTTCACGCGGCCATCCCATTGTGCCAATGCGAATCTAGGATTCCCTGCAATAAATGCCCTCCAATAGTAGAAATAAGTTCAGTTCAGCGTGTGCAAGCACTTCCCCAAAACAAGGGATAGCAGCGCCATAGCACTGCAAGCCCTTGGGCGTTGGTTGTGAACAGCAAATTTCGAAGATAGTGCATGTAAGAAGTCGCACGACTAGTAAACTGAGGGGGCGGAAAGCCCACGCCCGTGAATCACATGTTGGAAGCTGTAGCGGGTCGCAGTGTTTGTCGCTGAATATGTACAGAAGCCCAATGCTAAAATATTTCATACTCTACACGAAAACTATCGCATCCCGTTTTCGGGACGGATTCCCGCACAAGACCAAGCCAGAGTCCCTCCAGCCCCACCGGAAGTGCTCTCCCCAAAACTATTTCAAACAGCATCAAGCTGCTGTGACCAAGCGACTCGCCTGTGAGGCTGCAGTGCTACTGAGGCAAATGGCTTTACCGTATCTATGAAGCAGCTGCTTCAGCTAGATGCTGATTGCCTTCGTTGTCAAGCTTCATGTTGACAAGGCCCTCTTGCCTGCTGACCATGAAAGCTAACTATCTGTTAACATCTGAATGTGCATATTCACCTTCTGCCGAGCATTCAGTTTTTGTCTGGCTATTTTGGAGGTCCGATTCCCCAGTCTTTGGTAGGACCACCAGCCCTCGCCATGCTCGGTCATTCTTATCCGTGCGCCACATTGCTCGAATCCTCGCAGTTGTTGCTGAGGGACAAATCACAAACAGTAATCTGACGTAACTTTCATCTTGTGAAACTAAGAGCTGTCAGGTTAATTATGACGGGCAACTCTTTCAGGCAAACCTGCAGGCGTGATGGCCCCAGCTAGTCCTACATGTGTTGTCCGTGCCGGACGCCTCGTCAACTTCTGTCTGTCCTGTTGCCCCTCTTGCCACACTACAGTTAGTTCTAAAGGCTGCAACAGAGCTCTTGCTCCCAGAATTTGTGCAATAAGACGAAGTAGTGGCCGCAATGTCACAAGCAAAAGCTACAGATGCGGGCAGATTGCCAATATCCGGTTTGCAATTTTGCTGATTCATGCCGACCTCTTGAGTAAGACAAGGATTCTGTCTAAGACTCTCGAGGTGGCTACTTCCGCAGTGCGCAGGTGTCTCATCAACGTCAGGTGCATTGCTTAGTAGTTCCCGTTCTTGAAGTATCTTACACATCGTATTCTCCTTCTCAAGAGTAACTCCTTCGCAATTCCCAAAACGCACCATAGCATCAGACTCTTGATGCTTCTTTGGAGGTACCACGGCTCGTGGTTGACACTTGGAAAATGCGTCGACGCATCTGACACCGACGATTTTGCTCTCCGAATTCGTGTCTAGTGCAGGACCTACCGATTCCCTTTCGAAATGCGCTTGCAGCGTTTCGCTGGAACCCTTTCCAGAAGAGGAAAACCTAGTTAAAGGAGCACTGCTCCACGCCAAATTTTTCTTTGTGAGTCCTTCAGAAGAGCTAGTGACCGCGTCGCGATGGGGAAAAGTAGAAGGAGATGGGGCAACATCCATGGAGAGGCTGGAGAGAGGCTGTGGTTTGCCAGGCTGTTTTCCTCCTCCCAGGAGAGCAACGCACGACGGCCAGGCACGAATATGTGCACTTGGGCTGTCTATTTCGTTAACAAGACTGCCGCCTGTCTCGCAAGATGCACTGTCTTTCCCACTTTTCCGTCTGCTATCATTACTCTCTACGGTTCCAGAACTAGCAATCTGCACCTGTGAAGCTGCTGGTTCTATGTTGGCCAACTGGATCTTCGTAGTCAATCGAGGATACATGCCAGAGCGTGAAATGCCCGGCGTTCCAGAGTTATGCGTTTTCTGGTTCCCCTTCCCATTCTGTAACTTGGCCTTCCAGAGCTGCAACGTCTCCCACTGGAAACCAAGGTTTTGTATTTTAGATTCGCGTTCTTGCTCAATAGACTTGGCCGCTAATTCAAATGCATAGAGGGAGTTGTATGCTGTACTTCTGCAGAAGAGAAGGGCTCTCCCAGAGATGAAGTCGTTGTTGTCGACGTATTTCTGAAGCACGCGCATTGTTTCTTCCTTACTTTTGAACGCCGTTGCCCCAAACAATCGAGGGCAGTATTTTGGCAGGTCCTCCAAGCGTGCCACAACAGGGAAGCCGAAACTGAGAAGCACTTGCATAGCATAACGTCGGTGGCATATGGCTCTTATGGTAGTCTTTGTGGAAAGCAACCGCGCATTCATGTCATTGTTAAGCTGGCTCACCTTTGCCACTCCTCAACTCTGTTTAGTTCTCCATGCAACCACCTCGTCAACCCTGCAGATGACAGACTCACGTGAATGCCCAAATCCGGTGGTGGTTTGTGTGTGTGTGCGTGTGTGTGTGTGTGTGTGTCTGTGTGTGTGTGTGTGTGTGTGTGTGTGTGTGTGTGTCTGTGTGTGTGTCTGTGTGTGTGTATAGCTTCCGATGGCTGAACATACATGTGTCTGATGAGTCCACTACTAATACTGGTCTTTCAAGAAGTCCAAATGCTAGAGAATCCTTGGCAGCATTTAGCAATCGACGTGCAGAGCTGTAAAAGGGAATGCGACTACACATTCTTGTCGCCGTTGCCTGCAATTCAAGCATTTCAGAAAGGCATACGCCTGATATTTTCTGTTGTTGTGTACGTGGGCTGTGAAGTGCCCTTTCCAGTAGGTGAGAACCGTATGAGACGAATCAGTGCACTTAAAGCCACTTACGGAACGAAGCAGGCCTTCAATAAGATGAAGCGTGGCTCCGCTTGCAATCCAAGAGGCTTTCGTGAGCTCTCTTAAGCCCGTTGTAAACCATTGGCCTAGCCAGTCAACGATTAAAGAGCCGTTGGGGGCCTCATCAATTATTTTTTGAGCGAATGGCTTCTTTCTAATCCACGTTAACCACCGTGAGGCGTCTGCATCGTACGCACATTAAAGTTGCTCGGTGAACTCGAAGACACACAAACTGCTTATCCGTTAAGGCAACGACAAACGCACGAGGCTTTCCACACCTTCCATATTTATAGGGGAGTGCGCAAGGAAAGGTATTAGGCCTCCATTCCTCGAGAACAAGAACTGCACCAGCAGCTGAGCATGAGGCTTTTGCCGTATAGAGTTCAAGTACGGCGGCACAATCACATGGTCCGCCTCGAAGACACGCTGAAGGTTGTGGAGGCTGCGGAACGCAGTAGCTACTTGCAACACCTGCAGAGAGCCACCAACGTACTTGCAACCTGAAAATGCCTTGAATGATCCCGACACTCTTCTGTGCTGCATCTTTACTAACGAACTCAAGAAAAATGTGCCGGTAGTGATGCGATGGAAATTCGGACAAATTACCTGCATTGCCTGGCATGAGAGGCCGGTGAACGACAGTTGCCCTTCCGTGTTTGCGTGAAACGATGACTCTGCGCACATCAAAAAGACAGAACCGTAAAAATGGCAGAAATTCATGGAGCCAACAGCTCAATTACGTCTCTGTGTGGGTTTCTTTGTGGGTATTCGAAGTCCGCGTACCTTCAATCACAACATTTAGAACTTTGCTCTGCCTCGTGTAAGCGTCATGGGGTACAAGTGATTGAAAAGAGCGCTGAAGACCATCCGTAAGGAAAATAAGAGGAAGGTAGTTTATTCCAAATAGCAGACTGAAAATAACTTTTGCTATGGGGCCTCAATACACAGAATCCTACTGACCTGTATAGATTTGTTGCCAAGCTGTACCACGTAGTGGAAGACGGTGTCATAAAGAGTGTTGCGAAGCTGCCGCACCAAGTCCTCATGGCACTCTGGAGACCTTTCAAAGAGCAAATGGAGTCTTCCTTTCGGTGAACCAAGAAATACTTCAGCAGCATCGAAGTCTTCTGACCTGAGATAGGTTCCTCTACAGAAAACCCAGTAGGCCAAACAAATGCGAATGGCGTAAGCAGCCTGCAGAAGTAAAAAAAAAGTAAAAAGCATGTACAATAGAAGAACACTTAAAGGTGTGTGGATTCTCAACAGCGTTGAAGAAGCACACGGCCTGTGAAACAAACAGGTCAATTAGTCACATACCTCCAGTAAGTCGCATTCTAGAGCTGCTTTCAGCTGCTCTTTGACAACTGACAGTGCCTCTTTGTTCTTATTTTTATGCTCAAGCTGTCCGCTGTGCAGCAGTGATTCTTGAAGCTGCTTTGAAGAAACCCCTGTGATACCAAGAATCTCTGGATTGAATTTGTCGGATAAAGCGCCTACGAGAAAACAGAAGATAGTCAATACCACATATTTGTGGCAAGCCTGCTGCGCTAGGCCTGGCCAACAACGATTTTCTTAAACCCAGCGCGTGCTTATGAGATATAGCAAGATTTCTTTCTTACTTTCTACACATAGAGCAACGATCTTTAAAACGCCTTCTTCTGCAGAAGGCGCTTCACTTAGAAGGCATCCCGAGAGAGATATATCCCGCGCTTGGCCATTGGGGTTAAACCCAATGATCCATCTCCACAGGCACACACACTTTTCGCCTTTCCCAGGCGACACGACCGTGGTCCACGAAGCTAGAGCCTGTAGCGCACGACAAGTAGACTTAAATGTTTCAAAACATAAACAGAATGGGACAAAGGGAACCCCCTTAGGAATATAAAGAGAGCTGGTGATGAATTTCAGTATGTGTTTCTTGTGCTTACATCATATATTCTACTGACGCTTTTGATAAAGCGCATCTGCTCGTTGATGGCAAACCCAGAAAGGTATGCGAATCCAGCCAATAAAGAGGGCGCAATTCGGGCTATGCCTGCAAAATACAACAAATTACATGGACATCTGCAGAACGAAATCAAGTGACTTTGGCATCCACTGCAAGGCATACAACTTCCGGTAGTCTTTTAGTAGCGAGCGTGAAAGTCGATGAAGCCTTACTTTTGTTGTGAGACTCAACAATCACAATAATTTGGCTCTTCTGATAAAGCACTAGCTCGCTCCACACGGTTACAGCTGTGGCATACTGCGCCGGTGGAAGCTTGCAAATCTGTGTGCAGCTAGTGCTCGCCGAAGTCCTGAGGCTGCTGTCCCACGGTATAAGATCTGTTGGAGAGTCGTACAACCCCTTTATTTTCTCAAAGCCAGAGGGTGTGTTGATATGCTGCTTTACTTCTGAAGGAAGTTGCGTTTGCGGGGTTTTGCGAAGGCCAGATATACACTGGATAGCCGCCTTTGGACCCAAGCTGTAGAATATGCTACCTGTCAGAATATAATCCGGGGTCTGACATGCCATAAGCTCAGTGTCGAATGCAGTAGAAGTGAAAACCCACTCTCTGGGGGTGTTTTGGTTCACGCTTGCATCGACCCGCGATGTGACAAGTCTTGGATTGATATGCAATTCACCCGTTTGGTTTACTTTACTCGGAAGCGTTCTCATGGTTTGAACTGGAACATTACCGTCGCTCGTTTGGGGAAGCATATTGCTTTTTGCCTGAACGTTCGAGGCTCTCGACAGCAAAGCTGCAGACAGCTTCACAAGGCTTTTGGGTCCTAATGTGCCTCCAGCCACAAATCTACTGTTCTGCTCCTTTCTTTCGCAAAATCGTGCAGATGAATTGGGTGAGTGCGAAAGCTCGTTGCGAAGGTCTAGGCCAACAGATTTCAATGGTTCTCCTGAAATTAAAACTGGAATACCTGAACTCGCAACAACAAAGCGGCGAACAATGCATCAAACTCAAAAACAAAAACCTTGGTAGCATGCGCTTTTTCCATACACACTACATTGATGCAGTTGACACAAAAACAACAAACTAGTTTGAATCGACCCACGCAAGTAGGAAAAAAAAGAATCTGCGCCTACACAATTGCGGCCGAAGCAAAGAAGAACCAAATGTCACAAAGGAAGAGATCTAACTCCATTAGACCAAACAAAAAAACAACCACACCCCAGCAACCTCCGCGTCCCCCCCAGCTTCACCAGCCTTCGCCTTCACAGGAGGAAGACCCTTCACGCCAACCGCCTTCGGCACAGCCGAAGGAGCAACGCCCTTCGCCGCAACCGCCTTCAAAACAGGTGGCCGCTTTCCCGCAGCGCCTGCCTCCACGCCATCCTCACTCTCCTTCCCTGACGCTCCTTCGTCCCCAACCACCGCCTCTCCCCTCTTCCCCTCCCCAACCTCCACATGCCCCGCAGCCTCACCAGCCTTCGCCTTCACAGGAGGAAGACCCATCACGCCAACCGCCTTCGGCACAGCCGCAGGAGCAACGCCCTTCGCCCCAACCGCCTTCACAACAGGTGGCCGCTTTCCCGCAGCGCCTGCCTCCACGCCAACCTCACTCTCCTTCCCTGACGCTCCTTCGTCCCCAACCACCGCCTCGCCCCTCTTCCCCTCCCCAACCTCCACATCTCCCACAGCTTCACCAGCCTTCGCCTTCACAGGAGGAACACCCTTCACGCCAACCGCCTTCTGCACAGCCGCAGGAGCAACGCCCTTCGCCCCAACCGCCTTCAAAATAGGTGGCCGCTTTCCCGCAGCGCCTGCCTCCACGCCATCCTCACTCTCCTTCCCTGACGCTCCTTCTTCCCCAACCACCGCCTCTCCCCTCTACCCCTCACCAACCTCCACATTCCCCGCAGCCTCACCAGCCTTCGCCTTCACAGGAGGAAGACCCTTCACGCCAACCGCCTTCGGCACAGCCGCAGGAACAACGCCCTTCGCCCCAAACGCCTTCAAAACAGGTGGCTGCTTTCCCGCAGCGCCTGCCTGCACGCCATCCTCACTCTCCTTCCCTGACGCTCCTTCTTCCCCAACCACCGCCTCGCCCCTCTTCCCCTCCCCAACCTCCACATCCCCCCCAGCTTCACCAGCCTTCGCCTTCACAGGAGGAACACCCTTCACGCCAACCGCCTTCGGCACAGCCGCAGGAGCAACGCCCTTCGCCCCAACCGCCTTCAAAGTAGGTGCCCGCTTTCCCGCAGCGCCTGCCTCCACGCCATCCTCACTCTCCTTCCCTGACGCTCCTTCTTCCCCAACCACCGCCTCTTCCCTCTTCCCCTCACCAACCTCCACATGCCTCCCAGCATCACCAGCCTTCGCCTTCACAGGAGGAAGACCCTTCACGCCAACCGCCTTCGGCACAGCCGCAGGAGCAACGCCCTTCGCCCCAACCGCCTTCAAAACAGGTGGCCGCTTTCCCGCAGCGCCTGCCTCCACGCCATCCTCACTCTCCTTCCCTGACGCTCCTTCTTCCCCAACCATCGCCTCTCCCCTCTTCCCCTCACCAACCTCCACATTCCCCGCAGCCTCACCAGCCTTCGCCTTCACAGGAGGAACACCCTTCACGCCAACCGCCTTCGGCACAGCCGCAGGAACAACGCCCTTCGCCCCAAACGCCTTCAAAACAGGTGGCTGCTTTCCCGCAGCGCCTGCCTGCACGCCATCCTCACTCTCCTTCCCTGACGCTCCTTCTTCCCCAACCACCGCCTCGCCCCTCTTCCCCTCCCCAACCTCCACATCCCCCCCAGCTTCACCAGCCTTCGCCTTCACAGGAGGAACACCCTTCACGCCAACCGCCTTCGGCACAGCCGCAGGAGCAACGCCCTTCGCCCCAACCGCCTTCAAAGTAGGTGCCCGCTTTCCCGCAGCGCCTGCCTCCACGCCATCCTCACTCTCCTTCCCTGACGCTCCCTCTTCCCCAACCATCGCCTCTTCCCTCTTCCCCTCACCAACCTCCACATTCCCCGCAGCCTCGCAGCCTTCGCCTTCACAGGAGGAAGACCCTTCACGCCAACCGCCTTCGGCACAGCCGCAGGAGCAACGCCCTTCGCCCCAACCGCCTTCAAAACAGGTGGCCGCTTTCCCGCAGCGCCTGCCTGCACGCCATCCTCACTCTCCTTCCCTGACGCTCCTTCGTCCCCAACCACCGCCTCTCCCCTCCTCCCCTCCCCAACCTCCACATTCCCCCCAGCTTCACCAGCCTTCGCCTTCACAGGAGGAACACCCTTCACGCCAACCGCCTTCGGCACAGCCGCAGGAGCAACGCCTTTCGCCCCAACCGCCTTCAAAACAGGTGCCCGCTTTCCCGCAGCGCCTGCCTCCACGCCATCCTCACTCTCCTTCCCTGACGCTCCCTCTTCCCCAACCACCGCCTCTCCCCTCTTCCCCTCACCAACCTCCACATGCCCCGCAGCCTCACCAGCCTTCGCCTTCACAGGAGGAAGACCCATCACGCCAACCGCCTTCGGCACAGCCGCAGGAGCAACGCCCTTCGCCCCAACCGCCTTCACAACAGGTGGCCGCTTTCCCGCAGCGCCTGCCTCCACGCCAACCTCACTCTCCTTCCCTGACGCTCCTTCGTCCCCAACCACCGCCTCTCCCCTCTTCCCCTCCCCAACCTCCACATTTCCCCCAGCTTCACCAGCCTTCGCCTTCACAGGAGGAACACCCTTCACGCCAACCGCCTTCGGCACAGCCGCAGGAGCAACGCCTTTCGCCCCAACCGCCTTCAAAACAGGTGCCCGCTTTCCCGCAGCGCCTGCCTCCACGCCATCCTCACTCTCCTTCCCTGACGCTCCTTCGTCCCCAAACACCGCCTCTCCCCTCCTCCCCTCACCAACCTCCACATTCCCCCCAGCTTCACCAGCCTTCGCCTTCACAGGAGGAACACCCTTCACGCCAACCGCCTTCGGCACAGCCGCAGGAGCAACGCCTTTCGCCCCAACCGCCTTCAAAACAGGTGGCCGCCCTCCCGCAGCGCCTGCCTCCACGCCATCCTCACTCTCCTTCCCTGACGCTCCCTCTTCCCCAACCACCGCCTCTCCCCTCTACCCCTCACCAACCTCCACTTGCCTCCCAGCGTCAGCAGCCTCCGCCTTCACAGGAGGAACACCCTTCACGCCAACCGCCTTCAGCACAGCCGCAGGAGCAACGCCCTTCGCCCCAACCGCCTTCAAAACAGGTGCCCGCTTTCCCGCAGCGCCTGCCTCCACGCCATCCTCACTCTCCTTCCCTGACGCTCCTTCTTCCCCAACCACCGCCTCTCCCCTCTTCCCCTCCCCAACCTCCACATGCCCCCCAGCTTCACCAGCCTTCGCCTTCACAGGAGGAAGACCCTTCACGCCAACCGCCTTCGGCACAGCCGCAGGAGCAACGCCCTTCGCCCCAACCGCCTTCAAAATAGGTGCCCGCTTTCCCGCAGCGCCTGCCTCCACGCCATCCTCACTCTCCTTCCCTGACGCTCCTTCTTCCCCAACCACCGCCTCTCCCCTCTTCCCCTCACCAACCTCCACATTCCCCACAGCCTCACCAGCCTTCGCCTTCACAGGAGGAACACCCTTCACGCCAACCGCCTTCGGCACAGCCGCAGGAGCAACGCCTTTCGCCCCAACCGCCTTCAAAATAGGTGCCCGCTTTCCCGCAGCGCCTGCCTCCACGCCAATCTCACTCTCCTTCCCTGACGCTCCTTCTTCCCCAACCACCGCCTCTCCCCTCTACCCCTCACCAACCTCCACTTGCCTCCCAGCGTCAGCAGCCTTCGCCTTCACAGGAGGAACACCCTTCACGCCAACCGCCTTCAGCACAGCCGCAGGAGCAACGCCTTTCGCCCCAACCGCCTTCAAAACAGGTGGCCGCCCTCCCGCAGCGCCTGCCTCCACGCCATCCTCACTCTCCTTCCCTGACGCTCCTTCTTCCCCAACCACCGCCTCTCCCCTCTTCCCCTCACCAACCTCCACATTCCCCCCAGCCTCACCAGCCTTCGCCTTCACAGGAGGAAGACCCTTCACGCCAACCGCCTTCGGCACAGCCGCAGGAGCAACGCCCTTCGCCCCAACCGCCTTCAAAACAGGTGCCCGCTTTCCCGCAGCGCCTGCCTCCACGCCATCCTCACTCTCCTTCCCTGACGCTCCCTCTTCCCCAACCACCGCCTCTCCCCTCTTCCCCTCACCAACCTCCACTTGCCTCCCAGCATCAGCAGCCTTCGCCTTCACAGGAGGAACACCTTTCACGCCAACCGCCTTCGGCACAGCCGCAGGAGCAACGCCTTTCGCCCCAACCGCCTTCAAAACAGGTGGCCGCCTTCCCGCAGCGCGTGCCTCCACGCCATCTTCACTCTCCTTCCCTGACGCTCCTTCGTCCCCAACCATCGCCTCTCCCCTCCTCCCCTCACCAACCTCCACATGCCTCCCAGCGTCAGCAGCCTTCGCCTTCACAGGAGGAACACCCTTCACGCCAACCGCCTTCGGCACAGCCGCAGGAGCAACGCCTTTCGCCCCAACCGCCTTCAAAATAGGTGCCCGCTTTCCCGCAGCGCCTGCCTCCACGCCAATCTCACTCTCCTTCCCTGACGCTCCTTCTTCCCCAACCACCGCCTCTCCCCTCTTCCCCTCACCAACCTCCACTTGCCTCCCAGCGTCAGCAGCCTTCGCCTTCACAGGAGGAACACCCTTCACGCCAACCGCCTTCAGCACAGCCGCAGGAGCAACGCCTTTCGCCCCAACCGCCTTCAAAACAGGTGGCCGCCCTCCCGCAGCGCCTGCGTCCACGCCATCCTCACTCTCCTTCCCTGACGCTCCTTCTTCCCCAACCACCGCCTCTCCCCTCTTCCCCTCACCAACCTCCACATTCCCCGCAGCCTCACCAGCCTTCGCCTTCACAGGAGGAACACCCTTCACGCCAACCGCCTTCGGCACAGCCGCAGGAGCAACGCCCTTCGCCCCAACCGCCTTCAAAATAGGTGCCCGCTTTCCCGCAGCGCCTGCCTCCACGCCATCCTCACTCTCCTTCCCTGACGCTCCTTCTTCCCCAACCACCGCCTCTCCCCTCTACCCCTCACCAACCTCCACATTCCCCACAGCCTCACCAGCCTTCGCCTTCACAGGAGGAACACCCTTCACGCCAACCGCCTTCGGCACAGCCGCAGGAGCAACGCCCTTCGCCCCAACCGCCTTCAAAACAGGTGCCCGCTTTCCCGTAGCGCCTGCCTCCACGCCATCCTCACTCTCCTTCCCTGACGCTCCTTCTTCCCCAACCACCGCCTCGCCCCTCTTCCCCTCACCAACCTCCACATCCCCCCCAGCTTCACCAGCCTTCGCCTTCACAGGAGGAACACCCTTCACGCCAGCCACCTTGGGCAGAGGGGGGCGTGGTCTGGTTGGTCCGTGTCCTTTTGTGTGAAGTAGAGGAGGGCCTTTTGGCGTTAGAATCATTAGAGGTGATGGTGGTGTGATCGAGTCGCCTGCACTTCGGGGTATATGATCTGCTGCTTTTCGTACGTGAATTGCAACCGTCTGGGTTTTCTTATCTTCGGCATTCATTTTCAGTATGCTGTCGCATGTCGGGTCTTGCATGTGTTCTTCTCCTGTTGGATGTGGGACATTTTCCCGTTGCTGACGCGAACGACCCAGGTTTGCTGCTTCTTCAGGTGTACTTTCTTCTGCCTTCGGCCCCTGCTGCGGCGCATGGTCCATGAATAAATCGTCCTCAATCTCTGGGAGTCCTGTCACGGTCAAAACTGCATTCTTGCTGCTGGTGTTTTCCGTTGTTTTCGTCATGTTGCGAAGTTCTGAAGTCTTTGGTTGGTCTATAGTTGAAAGCGAAAGAGAGGCACTCTGTTTGTTTGCGTGAGTTTCCTCGGCTTGTTGCTGCAGCTGTGTGCCTAGGCTGCTTCTTGACGAAAGGCCTTTCTGGTTTGCTGCTGCATGTAGGTTATCAGTTCCACTTGTACGAGGGGGCGCGAGAAGCCCTGCTCCACCGGGAAGCTTGGGCTTGACTTTTGGAGCGCCAATTTCGTCGTTCCTGACTATAATTTCGGTGCCGTCGGGGAGCTTTCGTTCGACGAAAGTATATTGCTTAGACAACCTGCCTGTCAGCAGTTTCGCCAAGGGGGATTCGGAAGCTTGCATGGGGGCTCCATCCATGGGTCTCCGATCCCCTAGAAAATTACTGTCTCCGAGATTTGAGGCCAGCTGCGTTTGGTGCGATAAAGTTTCTGAACTCAAAATGCTTGACGGCTCCATGTGCACCATACCTCGGTTTACAGGTGGCATGAGCTTCGGCTCTGTTCCCGCAAGGCCTGTCGTATTCAAATCCTCATTCATTACTGTAGAGAAGTTTGTGTCTCCTTCAGTCTCCTGCTTCTTTTCAGATGCTTCGTTACCAATCCGTAATTTGCTGGAGGGCAGGCTCTTTGTCAGGTCCCCTCCAAATTCGTCCATGCTATCCGGTGCGTTACTTCCATTTGTGGAGTGCAACTGAGAATTGGTCTTCTTCTTTGAGGCATTACTGTCTTTATTGTTGCCATTAGATGCAACTTCTCCCATGAATGGAAGTTCGTTTGATTCACCTACGGAGGCGATCGTCCCCGTATGTTTCGGTGGGTCCTGACCAGACATGAGCTCATCGTCTATCACAGGAGCTTGCTCGGGAAGGTCAACAACATGGCTGTTACTATCCTTTTTATTTTCATTTCCATCTACCTTCTCCCCGGCTTCGCGGCTTGTTCTCGGACTGTGGTGAACTGGTTCTTCTGAGAGCGGGGTTTCAGGCTTGCTGTCGCTGACCCAGGAGGTGGCACCACCGAAGAAGTTCCAAACAAACATACCAGAAGCAGACTCACTATCGTGCGCGCTTGGTTCCTTTGACGGTGTGTGCTTCACTGTTTCATTCGGGCTAGCAGTTGCTGCCTCTTCCTCTGGAGGGATCTCATGCGTTGGCGTTGAATTTTCAGTGTTTTGCGTGAGCTGACCCCAAAGGCTCCACCCCGAAGTAGGCTGGTTATCATCACTACTTTCACGTACTGTCGGAGCAGTATCCTCTTCACGGCCATTTTGTGAATTGATAGAAGACAAATGCAATGGCTGACCACCTCCGTCCTGCTCATTTTCGTCCATGGAGCTGGCACTCTCCGCATCTAGCTGCGCTTGCGTCCCCGCAGCCAACTGCCCCCAAAAATTCCAGGGCGAGAAGCTCTGCTCAGGTGTCGGCTCATCTGGCTTGTACAGGTCGTCTTGAGCGTCCGACTCAGAAGACGGTGACGACGGTGGCTCGTCTTCATTCACCGTTTGCTGCGCTTCAGCATTTGAAAAGAACCACATTGCTGTACTGTTAAGAATTTTGCTCAGTGAGATGCCTTCGACTTTTCGTGTTTGGACTGGGCCAGAGCGGGCAAACCATTGTTGGTCAGCACTCTCAGTGTGACCCTAAGAGAACTTAACCGCATCGATCACAAGCTCATAAGCATAACCTCACTAGAAAAAAAGGCTATATAAGGCACTGATTCTCACAGCTGATGCTGTGCTATGAACAAAGCCTCACACTGACGGCTTTCTGTAGAAGGGCTCGCCCGATTGGAGCCGACGCCACTGGACCTCTCGAGACCTCTATGCATTCTGCAGCCCCTCCAAAAATACATGCAGGCTATTTACATTGGTTATTACTGAATATGCGTGTAGACATCATATCGCGGGGCACCATCAAGTATAAACGCTGGAGCCTGAAATTGGGAGAACAGCCTGGAGTTCAGGGCCCTTCGAAGGGTAAGGAGAGCTTACGAACTTCTCAGAACAATTTACATAATTATTTCTTTTCGCTGCCATTCTGCTTGCAATATTACCGGCTCCTAACTTTATCTTTGAAACTTGCGGAAAAATTGTAATGTGGTTCGGCAAGCAACGCCAACTTTGACGGGTAACTTGGGGTATATCTCGTCCACAAGAACGGGTAGCAATCAGGCGTTTAGTGTCTAGACAGTGCTCCTGTCTCAGATTCAACATTTCGCTCATTCTTTGAAGATGACATCTCTTTCACCTGGGTAATTTGCCAGCAGTCTGGTAAGGCCCACGCTAACGGCAAGTCGTCGCAGCTGTGTTTTCTAGAGCAAAATCAAAATTTTTGGCAGCTAAGCTTTTTCCACCACTGTTATCTTGTCCAATACATGCAGCAATATAAGGACCCTGCTGGGCCCAACATAGGCCTTGGGCGCACTTCAATTCGCGACTCCTCATAAGCGCTTGTCTCAGAAGAGCACATGTGGTACGTAATTCAAAATTTTGCACTGGAAATGGAAAATTAGCGGGGGAGACGTTGCCTCCTACCTTTACTCCGTGAAATGTGGTGTTACAGTCTTACGGTGTCAAGATACTACGTCTGTAAGGGTTGATCGGCTGAAATACGGTACGAGGTGAGGTAGCTGGCTCTAAAATGTAATCCTTTTGCATCCGCTGATGCTTTGAAATGAAGGCTACCTGTGATACTATCGCCTCCTACTACATAAACTCCTGGAACACTCCACGCAAAGACATTCAATGCATCAAGCGTGAGACAGTACAAAAGCCCCCAAAATATATATACTGCCTACAAAGCACTTTTCTCCAAAAGAAATTGAGAGAACAGTTGCTTCTCTGCGAGGATGCGATGAGTTACGAAACCAGAAAGAGCATTAAAATGCGCCAAAACATATGAAGACCACCGCTACTGTTCTACTGTTCTCATATTCCATTCCCCGAACTCATCTATGTGAGCACAGGCCATCCCTCAATCTACTGCATGGAGTTCACCATATGTGCACTCCAACTTGCAACCAAATGCGAAAGGAGCGCAATTGGTTTCCGATAAGTGGATTGCTCGTGCCGATTAAATCCCCCACTACAGTAACGCCAAATGCGATATTTACTGGAGGCTGAAGCGCGACTGTTTCTGATGCCATGGAAACGCTGTCCAGAACGACCACTTAGGACGTATCTGAGACAGTTTTAGTAGTCGTTGCTCATTGTGGGCAGCTGGCAGTCTTTCACCTTCGCACATTTGCCCTTGTATGCTGTGCTGTAGACGTTACGTGGTCATTTCAGCATCTCCCTTCGACATTGTGTCACTAGGAATTCAGGAAGACTCTAGGCAAACATCATTTCTGTGATGCCCACAGAAAACAGCAGCTTCCAAGAGCAGCACGAACAAAACCACTGGGGCTGCTTCAATTGCACGCTAGCCCGTGCTGCCTTGCGTCATAAACCAAAAGCACGCTTCCGCGAGCTACTCTGATCGCTGCAATGCAGCTTTGACCAAGGGATGCCGGGGAGAAGGTTGGGGAGTTCCTCCCCATTTAGGTGGCAGTTCAGGTGTCTGGTGAGGTGGGATAGTTAGAATCGGAGAGCCTCTCCACTCTTCTTCTTCGTGCCCATTAGGGATGTACCTATAGCAAAAAAGTGGAGAGGAGGCACTGAATGCACCACTGTTCACTTCCAATTAAGCGGTACAGGAGCAGCTGCCATACAACGAATTAACGGTGCACTGTGAATAACTGAGAAATTCAGGAGCTTTCAAACATTTGCAATGGCCGCAACCGTCACACAACAAAACACAAACTGGAGACGCAAAACCAGCCGCATGCCTGGCGCCTTGAATGTGGCTCTGTCAATCTTTTTATCTATTTAGCCGAGGCTCTGCATCGTTTTGTCACTATCTAGGTTACAAAGTTACGCATACTTAATAATTTCTTCGGGTTCATGGATGGTCCGGTAGCGAATGACTTCTTCCACAACTGACACCTCCACGATCTTTTCAACCCATTTCTGGCAAAATACCGGCTTCTCCACTATGTTCTCTCGAATTTCAACTTTAGGGACTATTTTGGTATTGTACATTACCTCGGGAACTTCAACGACTCTCTCTACCCATTCAATTTGAGGGACTTCCACGATCTGATAGCGTCCAACCGTGAAAAAACCCATCACAGTCACATCTTTCGCCGCGCAGTTTGAATTGATATCTAGGAAAGTATGCTTTTTTCATGGCTGCATAGCCACAGAGGCTAGAAAGTACGATCTGAGGGCTTTTCCCACCGATGGTCAAAGATGCTACAAGCTGCTAGGCAATAGGACTGCGCAGCCAGTGAAAGCAATGACTCACTTTTTCAATGTATTTGGGAACCAGTTTGGGCACTTCGACTACTTTTTCTCGGACGACTGGCTTTGGGACATACACATCAACTGTTCGAGTAACAGGCACTTCCACAGTCCTGGTGACGACGTCAACAGGTTGGTAGGCAGTGACTTCAAGCTGAAGCCGCAACAAAACAGCTTGAGATGCTCCTTTGACAATCAATGACAATTGTTTCGAAAGAATCAACACGGTCTGATGGCGTATGAGTGCGTTGGCGACAGAAAACATTGCTGGCAGATGCTTACCCACTCCCTAGTACTTCGCGACTCGCCTGCCGCGTTGGGCCTACCAACTATGGGAGGTCCCAACAAACGGTCAGGTGCCGAACTCATTGGCGGTCCCACGCGCTCCCAAGAAGGCGACTCTGATGCAGAGAGCTCCGTTTGGTGGACCGAGTGAGTTCCAAAGGCCTCCTGCGGCGGAGTTACTGCACTCCCATACTGATTCCCAAGGGAAGCCACAGGAGTTGGCATACAACTACCTCGAGTGCATCCGAGTCTGTTGTTGTTGTACGGTCTACTTGGGAAAAGGTCTATAGGCGGACCATTCCAGCGTCTCGGTACATCCGGCCTTCCAGGGCCCGTTTGACCCTGCATTTGCCCTACCTTCTACGATCACCAGTAAAAGCTACGTCCTCGGCATGCTTTACAGCAACGTGTTATACGATGGAAGCGCCCGGCTGGCACTCGGGCTTTCATCTGGTTTCTTGCGCACCTCTTCCTACTGCTTGACCGGCCACAAGTTGCGCTGAGGAACGTAGCTTCGGTGGGATACACAGACAAGGTGCTTGATGCTGGTATTTTTTTGAAATTCCAGAGGGCGCGGCTCAGTTGGGTGGGTCTCCGCAGCTTGAATCTCAGCTTTGAATATGCGAACTTTGTTGGCCTGAACTGCCGGAGTTTTACCTTATTACCGGCGAAATATGTCCTTGCGATTCGGCAGGTCGAAGACACAACCGCCAGAAATATTAATGCCAGCCGAAAATTATCAGAGTTTGATCACCTGGTGGAGATCAACACGCATGCTGATGTCCGAATGCTGAGCGCTCACCGACGTCTGTGCAGCTGCTGAGCGGAACAGCGTAACCTCTTAAAGCAAATCCTTCATACGAATTTATAGCAGTAATGATCTTAGAAAGAAATATTGAAGGGCTGCTAGTGACTGCAGCCCCACGTGCAACCCACGTGCAACCCTCGTTTATTGTGCGGGCGGAGTCAACCGTCGTCGCCTGCAACTCGCCGGACATGTAGGACCCAGGGAGGGCCTCGTGTCCACCTAGCTGCATCTTATTGTGCAACTCATTATCACTCTGTGCAATTCAATATATTTGCAGTTTATTGTTTTATTATTTTTAAGCTCTCTCCGTCGTGGCGGCTGCTCCAGTGTTGGTGGACTAGACGCATGATCGGCAGCGGTCTCGTGTGAGACAATCACCGCGAAATCGCCAAACACCCTAGGCCTTCTTCTACAAAGTAACAAAATACCAACAACTTCATCATTTTGGAGAAGGTCGTGCTTAAGTCTGCCTTCCCCAGTGCCGCAATGCGAGCGGTGGCGTGTACTCTGACCGTCTGCTCAACGCGTCGAGCCGTAGTACAGACACGGCAAAGCACTAAGCCTCCCCAACTCATTTCGTAGGGGCCAAAATTTTCAGCGCGCTATTAATGATCCTCATCATCAGCAAGGTGCTGAAGAGCATTACGACCTCCAGATTGACCGTAGGTGCAAGCTTCGACACGCGATAATGAAGCCCGAAGATCGCATGGCTCGAACACCATTAAAGGTTTCACCAGGCCGTAGTGGTGTCCAAGGGAATCCACCGCCTGGTGCTACCGTGCTGCAACCCATAGTAGAGGTGCGGGACCCTGACGGACAATGTCCACGCGAACATCCTCTGCAAGGTGGCACGTGAAACCGCGCTTATGCGAAGAACCTCGTGTCACTGTGAATGTGAAACTATAGGAGAGAGTTCGCGAGATCGTGAAGGAACGCGTCGAAAATAGATATATCGAAGTGCCTCAGGTCTATTATGTTGAAAAGGTGGTGGAAGTGCCACGGGAGGTCCCCGAGGAGAAGATTGTGCGAGTCATGAAACCAGTGAAGAGGGAAGTTATAAAATACGTCAAAAAACCCGTCTACATTGACAAGATCGTGGAAGTTCCGGAAATAAAAGTGAGAAAATAGCTGGCGGGCTTGCGTGAAGCCTTAGGGAGCCTGACCCAAGCTCATGCGTCACTGTACCTCCATAAAAGGTTATCATTTCTTGCTGATGCCTTATGTAATACAAATGACCCAAAATGTAATGATTTGAAGTAGTATTCGGTATAGTCTGTGTCTACGTTTCAGTACGTGGATAAGGTGGTTGAAGTCCCCCGGTACGCAATCAAGGAAAAAATCGTGGAAGTTCCAAAAGTTCTTGTCATTGAGCGAATTATACCGGTCCTGAAAAGCTACAGGAAAGAGCAAGTGGTGTATGTCGAGCCTGGACGGCAAGTGAGTACATAAACCTTGCGTCCGCAGTATGCAACCTTGTGTCCGCTGTATGCAGTGCATGCTGTGCATCGCCTGTTTGGTTGCGTAACTCCTTTGCCACTTTCTCCTCACTCTTCGATTTTTCTGGTGCGTCAACAGATACCTTTTGGAAGCCAGCATGCGGCTTATTCTACAGTGCAGCAATATGGACAGCCTCAACGAAATTTCGGGGAACGACGGCTTCCGGAACTCGCAGGGCTTCCTCCCCTCTGGAGGCACGAAACCACATCTCCAAGTCCTACAACAAACAATCACGGGAACTATGGAAGCGCCGAAAATGCATCCAATAAGCTCATATCACGCATAAGCGACGACGGAATGCCCACAAACAAAGCAGCAAGCGGGCCCTCTTCCGCTCCAGGAACTCCGTACATGGCTGCAAATTCTGCCGATCCGCTTCAACTGAACACTACGCCATCCATTAACTAGTCGAAGCGACGATTCTGCGCCACTCAACGAAGATGTGCGCGAAAGTGCAGCGGCGTATATCCGCATCTGAGTTCCACTAATTTTCTATTGCCGCAAGCGTGTGCACATAGGGAAAACAGCGTACGCGGAGGGCTTGTGTTGCGGGCCCACGGCCTCGACAGCCTTAAAGAACGGCCTCCAAATTAGAGCCTCCAAAAGACAGGTCTGCCCTTCCCAAAAATGAAGGCGGGAAAAAATATCTTTTTGATTGCAAGCAGCGTTCGAATACCCAGGCGGCAATAAACTAACTAGTTGAAGAGCAACTTTCCAGATTTGGCTGTGGGGTTCGATGACATCGCGAGCTCTCAGAGATCGGTTTGCGTCACAAGTCCAATTCAATAACACGACTGAGGTCGTGCTCAAGCTGCCTGAAACACAGCGCAAAGGCGATTCGGAATTCACAAAGCTATACTGAGATGCGAGCGCGGACCCGACTGATGTTGCACTGCAACGCTAGCTTGTAGCTTATTACAACTGTTGTTTATTTGTGACGACTCTGTAGCACTTGTGGCTGGCATTACTCTAAGACTTCATCTGCGCGCTTCTTCGGAACACAAGGTCCAAATTCGTGTGGCCCGTGAGATCCAAGTAGAGGGGAAGCTTTCAAATTGCCATCATGACGCAGGAGCTTCCTATGGGCTAGGAAGGTGCTAACGAGGGCCGCCAGCTTTGGGAATGTATAGAACAACGGAAAAATGACGGGCACTGCAGCGGCGACGAATTCGCTCAAAGTGGGCGATTCTGATCGTTAAACAGACAGGGACGAACAGTTGAATGTCCTTTCCATTTATTACTGCATGCGGTTTCTACGTCTTTCTCCAGCTATCCTCATACAGCCCATAAATATGCACGATCTACAGGCCTAGATGAAATGACCCAAATCAGAAGATACATACAACAGCTGCTCCCCATCAATTTCTACAGTCATTCCACATAAAGAGCCTGCAAACATCAAAGGCATCGTATCCCTCTGCGTTTACCGTGCAATTCAGAATGTTTGATTGCCTCCAGAAAAACCGCATTTGCGTTTTCGGATGCAAATGAAGGATCGGTGTCGCGTTTGTCCCCGGGGAACGGCCGGTTGTCTCGCAAGTCACAAGCGACGCAGACAATACATTTCAGGTAGAAGAGGCATAGATCCACACGGCTTAACGGGGCTAAAGCTGGGTGAATCGCCGTTGTCTGGTTCGTCGTAATACGCACTCCATGCACTGGGCTGAAACCGACAGATCAAGAAGGCAAACAAACACTCGTATCCACAAAATGAACCATTACAGCGATCCGTCAAAGAAGAAAATTGTGGAGGCACTTTGTAACAGCGTCTTCCGCCTCAGGACTTGTGGCCAGTTGCTTCACTGCTGTGAATCCATTCCATGATGCCTACATGTTGTTCATATTTTTACTGGAGGTTCTTACTCGGAAACTATTTCGCCTTGCACTGAGGGGACCGATAGCGTAATCGCGCCATCCTTTCTGCTTGTTGCATCAACCACGTCTCTGCCCGTATTGATGTCCCAGAAACAAGAGGCGTTTTGTCGGAGTAATTGACAGAGCAGGGGTAGTAGCCTCTGCACTTCCTTCGTGTTTTTGCAAACATTGTCAACAGCTTCGAGAGGAAAGCCAGAAGTAAATAGAGCTTCGAGGCTCTGCGGCCTCCTATTTGCTTGCCGATCCAAAAGCCTCCCTAGCAACTCCCATGTTCCCTCATCTTGTGCAAAGCAACATGCCTCTATTACAACCTGCAATACTGCTGTCTCCTATAAAAGGAACACCCAAGCGATTGCCGCAAGAACATGATTCAATTTTCGCACATTACGTGCGTAGCTGGACCCACTGTTGCTCCCGGCACACGTCGCCAAAAGGCGTAAGCCGGCATGAGCTTTTGTTGCAAAGGACAGTGTAACAGTGCTCACCTGAAGCTGTATTATCTCTTCGGCGGAAATTGGCTCAGGAGGCCTTCCAGGGAGAGTTGGAGGCCCCATGTGTGCGTATGCTTCAAGCTTCATCAGAAGCATCAAAAGGATTCGTGCCAGCACATTGCTCGTCAACAGCCGTATAATTAGGTTGGCTGGCAGCTGCAGCAAGAGGTTCAGAGGGTTTTGGACAATACACAAATAGATAGCGTCGAGCATTGCTGGTTTGAATCTGGGGGGTGAGACACACCCCTGGAAAGCCCACGAGTGCACCGCTAAAGCTCCCATCTTCTCTATATTCTCTGACGGCAACTCTGTTGGCAAATCATCATTGGTGGGGCTCCACTCCAAGGTAGGGGATGATGCAGTGGTTGGGTTGTTGTCTCGCTCGAAGAACTTGTTGATTAGAGAGCAAACTGCCCCAGCAACTCCCGCAAGCGGTTCGATTTGTAGGTACAGCTGAAGCATCTCACTATCAGTCTCGAGCGCTGCAGGCATGGACGACTCCGTTGTCAATGCCCTGCAGCCAACGGCCACCACGAGATAGGAAAAACGGTGTTCCAAACTTCGCTTCTGGAGGGTGGAGTTAACCCCGCAATGGCGACAAAAACTAGTTGCCGAACCTGTGAATCCAAAGGGACACTTGGTGTTGAACCTGGGCTGCAGAAGGTAACCAACTGGATGCACTCCAAGAGGCCCGGGAAGCGGAAAGAGTGTTCTTTCCTATCCATGTGCAAGCAGGGAACTCCAGTGCGAGACTAGCGGTTAACCTAAAAGCATATGAGAGGCGACAGTTTCAACAAGTTAAGGTTGCAACAATGCGCGTGAATGAAGGAGTGTTCAAAGTACGAAAAACACCACAAATGAGGGGGTGGAATATACAGACAGTGAGCAGAGGAAAAGTTTCTCAAAGCACCTGCACACGGGATCAACCAAATCTGCCTCGGCGAGAGATGAAGGATGCAGCGTTCCGCAAGAAATGAGCTCTGATGGAGATAGAAGAGGTGGGGGTCCTTCAAAAAGAGCCGCCTCCGGGAGGCAATCTTGAAGAGCCTCAATAAAGAGGCGCAGCATCCAATGACTAAGCGTGGGACTGGCAGAAAAGACGCATGCAACAGACACAAAAAACGTGCAGAAACATTCCAAAAGGGCTACACAAAGCTCCAAAATTCAGAATCTGCTCCAGGCAGTCAATGAGCTGAGAACTACGGGAAGCTGATGTACGTGCACAGAAGCCCAGCACCCTGTGTACGGCGCCTTAGTTTGTGCAAGCGCAGAACCAGCATATGAAGAAAGAAAAGCAGAAGTGCCCGCTACTGGAGACAGAAATGATGGGGAGGCCGAAGAACTGACTGCGAAGAAACAAAATGAATGGCCGACTGCCACGGAAGAGAATGAAGGCGACGCAAATAACGCCCATCTCGAGCTGAAGAAAACAGCAGACAGCCCCAACTCATAATAAACAATTTGTGAGACAAAAGGAGACAAACGAATAAAGGAAACGCTGTACGCAGCCGCTCTCGCATAAAACAACAACGGGCGTCGCTGCTGCAACAGCTGCAGAAAGAGCCTCATTGCCACAAAGCTCATGCATACAGGTGACGTTTATGCGCGCCATTCTTTCAGAAGGAGACCTCCTCCACGCTAGCAGCTGAGCACTTGAAGTCACAAGTAGCTTCGGCATCCAACGTTAGTGCACTGCTCACATGAGTGAGGAACAGCGGCTACACCAACAGGAGTTTCAACAGTTTCCCCGGATTTAACAAACCCAGCTGCCATGTCAGAAGCAGTACTAGTAACTGGCAGGTTATGCTTACCAGGCTGTAGTGGCTGTGTTCAAAGTAGTAAGATGCCCATCTACTCACCCCGAAAGTACGGCAGAACGTGCATTCTTGCAATCAGGTATAATAGCATCACAGCAATGCAGCTGCAGTTCAAGCCGTCTTTTTCTTTCACCGCGACCTCCACCTCAGTAACTGGAGAAGCACCAGCAGCCCCCAAGAGAGGGAACACGTGATGTTCAAGCGCGGTGAGCACTGCCGGGTAGTCCTGCGGCGTACAATGGGGCTCAAGACGAAGGGGAATTAAAAAAAACACAACTCTCTAACATTTCCAAGACCAGACCACTTAGCTCCATGTCCTCTATTTAGAAGTAAACATCACCACACAAACATATGTTAGCACATGCATCTGCATTCCCCCATAGCATACATTTTTCAAGCTTCACTGCAGGAATGTCCAAAGTGCATGTGGAAAATTGAACACAGAGGCCGCTGCTCGCAGGAAATGTGCAAGTGTGCATGCTTTCAACAATTCCGCAGACGTAATTCATCCACCACATACGTGGGAGTTACGCTCACAAGAGGTGATGAGAGTGATGGGATCAATACTAACGCATTAGGAGACGTGTGATTCTCAAGAAACGCCACGAAGGCAGCCACGAGATGCATCCAACGCTGCAGCCCTGCATAGGGAAGGCCGAAAAAGCCCCCTCCATCTCCCTGCCCCTGTTTTCTTAAAACCTCTCTGGAAGGGGAGCACAGTAAAGCAGAAAAGACTTCGCGTCCGCATTGGCAAACAAATAACAAGCATTGCAGAGACAGTAGCTCATCCGGACGGTCATGCAAAATGTCCCCTTGCTCCCCATCATCGTCTCTCTGGCGTGCCCTTTTCGCAGGAGAGCTTGCAGCGCCAGAGTCTTGAATGTCATCCAGGGGCACCTGCACTAATGGCCTAAGGGCACTCAAAAGGGAAGCTTTCGCAGAGGATATGTGAGCAGCAAGGATCTCAGACACAGCATCAGTCTCTTGTTTATGTTGCTGCGGCTCTCTTTGGGGCGGGGGCAACACATGAAGCTTCCAAGCCTGACAGGCCTCCAGAAAACACCTAAAAATATATGCGAAAAGTGACTGGTTCGGCCCCTTTAGGGACAGGAATGGGGACGCTGACAAAGCCCGAGGTAGAAGGTTCCTCAAAACCGCGTGAGCATCTTCTGATGTTGAGAAATGCCCAACATGGATACTTTCAAAGGATGTCTGTGACAGTGTCCCGATGACCTGGCTGTACAGAAGAGTCCCAAGACGTTGCAACATTTCCCCCCAAGTGTCTTGGTGTCGCATGCTGTTCCCGAGCATCAGGCTGCACACCTGTGTAAGACTCCCCATCTCGGCGTCTTTCTGTGAATCTGTTCCAGCCTGAAGATAGCTCTGCTTCATTCCAAGCAAAATTGCGCGTGCTAAAGTAGCCTTAAGCCCATTAGCCGCAAGAGCATGAACTCTGTCCAAGTTCACCAAACCAACCATCTCAGCGACAGCAAAAACGCCCCAGCGAGTCGAGCAGAGATCAACACGGGAAGACGGCTCGGCTACATAAGGAGGGAGTGGTGCAGCACCCACGGAGTTGGACAAAGGCTGCAAAGTCTCCTCAATCGCCTCCTCTAAGAACAGTTCTAAGGATTCTCCGACAGCTGCATCATCAGGCACCTGCTGCGGCGGGCCTTCGCCTCTGGTGCTCGCTGCAACCAAGAGCCTCCGTGTCTGATGTTGCTCGTAGTCAAAACAGAAAATGTAATAGTTCAGCAGCAGCTCAGCTTTCAAATACGGGCTCCCCTTCTTATGCTTGAGAAGGCTCCCAAAATCTCCGGGAAGAATCTTCCTATGAGGGCTTTCCGGTTTCCCAGTGGTTGCCAGGGGGCCCCGTAGAGAGCCAAGAGAGAATGCTCTGCTTGCAGCTGCATGCATTAGTTCTTCAGCCGAAGGCAAAGTGGAAAGTTGCAACAAGGCTAAGGGCGCAGGGTCTAGAAGCACCTCAGGTGAGCACAGGGAAACGAAGACAAGTTGCGAAAAACACGGCGAGCAGCTGCTGATATATTGCAGAACTAATGCCGCATAAGAGCACAGTGGGAATGAATATGACCGCAGACGCTCCAGCAAAATTTGAACGCAAGAACTCCCAACCTGTGCGCACCCACGCATCACTCATTGAACCCCTACGCTTTGCAAAGCTTAGTATATTCCCTCTAGCTCATACTAACTCTACACGGGATCTATGCACAGGAAAAACCACGCAAAGTGCAGTCTTTTGCAAGAATGAACCAGATATGTACTGCAGCAATCCAGGAGTTAGATACCAAAGTGAAACTCCACGATAGTAGCAGGCTGAAAATGAATGAAGCGAGAACAAAGCATGAAGCAAACATCTTCTTAATCAAAATACGCAACTCTGAACCAATACACATACACGCGCACGTATGCTGTGCAGTGATATGCGGAGATACGTCACGAGCTCAACACTTCACACACACACACACACCCAGCTGCCTGAAAGACCCTAAACTCCAGTGGCATCTACTGGATCCATAACTGGACAAAACGCGACCACTTTTGGATGTCTATGCTTTGGGTTCAGAGCTTATAAATCACCAAAAGCGCATCCTCGTGTGTGGGGCTGTTCAGGATGATGGACAGAAAGGGCTTAGCGGCCCAAAATCCAGGACTGATATGGGGCGGATTGTGAAACAGTCGGCTGAAGACCTCCCCTGTAGGGCTTTCAGACGATTCTCCATGCGCGCTTCCGGAGCTCTGGCTCCAAAGCCAAGAGACAGCTGCATTGCAGAGAAGTAAAGCTGATCTGCGCGTTATTCTAGCGGCAGCGTTTGCAGCTATCTGTGCGCTTGCCCGCTGTTCTGCCGCTGCACACGGTGATTCTTCGGCTGGTGGCCTCAGAGTGCTTGTGTCTGTGTGGACACCGGAGACCTTGGCAGAAGACTGGCTCATGTTAGTCCCCTTCCCTTCTTGATGCAGCCCTTGTTGCTGGAAGCCATTTCTTACCCCTCCGGCAGTCGCTGTCGCACGCAATGAGCTGCAGCTCTCCAATGGCAACGATAAATACAGCAAAGGCAGGAGAACTGGCAAAAGAGGGCCCCAGACATTCATACCAGTTGCTAGGATAGCCTGCTCCACTGCAGGCTCAGCAATAGCAGCAGCGAATGCCGAAACATCCATCAAGAACCTCCTTAGTGCAGTTTCCAACGACTGCTCAGTTAAAGCTGAATTGGAAGGCTCTAAAGAGCCTTCATAAACCCAAAGAGAGCTCAAGAGAGGCTCCATCTTATCGGGAACTCCTCCGGCAGACACCGAAGGACTTCCCGCAAGATCACTGTCCCCCTGTTGCCCCACATTAGAAGTATACGGGAGCTTCTTATTAGCTAAATGCTTAATAAGTTCAGCATCACAAGTTGAAGGTGCAGCCTTTGCTGCTATCGCTGCTACTGCTGCTGCTGTCGATGCGGACAGCGAAACCCTACAGTTCGCAGTTGCAGCTACGATACGACCTAGATACCTGCACGCCTCAACCTCTTCAATGGGAAACCTAGCAATGAGCGCATCGAGGCTGCTGGGAGGTGTGCCGTAGGAGTCGTGCAGCTGCAACAGCACTGGTAGACAGCAGCTTACTAGCTCCTCAGGTGGGGCTACCTGCTCTTGGCCTTGCTGTTTTGTGAGTGCAGAGAAGTCCCTGAAGTGCAACAACCCCAGTATATCGTCCATTTTACATGTTTTCTGTTTATGCCTTGTTCAGGTTCCTATGGAACCTGTGACCACCTGTGGAAGTTAGAAGCTGTTTTGAGAAGAAAACAGAAAATCTATATCTCTCAATTTTCGTTGGCAGCCAATGTAGCCAGAGAAATACAGAGAGAATCAGGGCAGGGGCACCATAGTCGTTGGTAGGTTTTGGGGAGGCATTGTGACGTTCAAGCGGCAAGCCTACACATGGCTTCATCCTTCAAGATTAATTCCAGAGCCGTGCAATATGAAATACAAGCACAAAAAAAGTGCAGGCAGCAAGTCAAACTGCATGCGCCATCGATACTGACAATTGAGAGTGGAGCCAATCACCCCAACGGGCCCTGTTCGGGCCCGAATGTGACCATCTCCTTAGCACCTCCGCATCACTCTATTCGAAGGTAGGCAGAGAGCTTTCAGGGCCAGTTTCCAATAGTTTTTCACAGACTTTTCATTTCGTTCGGGTTGTATGTCTTGATTCGAGTTGCCGCTATGCACGAGGAGCGAACATCCCATTCGCGCTTGACACGCCGCCCATTCAGGCAGCGATGATATGCTGTATGTGCTCTTCGTTTAAGTAAGTTGAAAGGCTTATTTTGCAACACAGTGCGGCATAGTGGATGGAAACAGCCGTAAGCCTTCCGTGACTTCTTGAGGGTGGAAGCGCGTAGGCTTAAACGATCCAAAGTACTCATAAATGTGCTTGCACAATTCAGTGTGCGTTGGTGCGGAGCAGCCTGCATGTGGGTAGCAGCCTCACTGCGTATGTTCGAGGTAGACACGTAGGCGCTTACGTCCCCGGTGCGCAGGTTACTAAAAGTCTGCCTAGCCAGGGACACGCATTCAACGCATTCAACGTGCCTCGCAGAATGTTAGAAGCTAACTTTACACACACGAAAACACAAGATGGCGAGGAAGTCTGTTCATTGTGCAGCGCATGTTTGCACGTGAAAGCACAGGAGGCCAGATATGAGTTTGTCAACCCTATAATTGCGTCTTCGCTAGGGCAGTTTTTTGTCGCCTCCATACTATCGTAGGACTAGGTGGAAGTCTCCTGTTAACAGCCTTCCCACTTGCCGGTGTCCTGTTGCATATGAATATGTACCTCAACTCCCGGTACATCTTTAGCTCCATTCGGGCTCACCACAGTGCGAACAGGTGAGCGTCGAATAATAAAGCACGCCGTCTCCTCTGCACAGGTGAGAGGCCTGACGTACTGTTAATGCGTAAGTATATAGTTAAATGCGAAACTGTGGATACTGCGACGAAGTGCCTGCCACGAGGGGGAGGCGCCCACTCAGGTTGCCCCACCTCTCAAGGACTACACTTCTACGACGCACATGTTAATCCTTCTGCCAGGAACGGGACTACTTCGTGTCTAACAAAGAATAGAGCGACAGTCTGTATACTTTGAATGGGAAAAAGCCTCCCCACGGGCCTCGAATAGGATTTCTGCCCTACCCGTTGGAAGCCCCCGTGCCAGATGCAGGAGGAGGGATGGCTACAGCGCCAAACTGCCCGTGTTGCTGGGGAGAATCCCAGCTGCAACAGTTAGTACCATCATCAACAGAGAAACGGCTCGATGGGCTCAGGACCCACTGTGCGTCAAAAAGAGCCGACTGTTCGTACCTCGGTTTGTCTTGCCGGTGGTGCTGATCTTGCTGCAGCTGCTGCTGCTGTTGTTGTACTGTCTCTTGATGCGGCTGCTGAACCTGTAGCCATGGAGTTGCCTCTGGAGTGGGTTGCTGCCACGTGGCTTGCGGGCTGCTACTATGACTGCTGCAACAGCCACTGCTGCTGCAGTCCCCTGGAGCTTGCCGCGGTCGCTTCACGCCCTTCCCTTTGGGGGCTGCAGGCCCTAAGAGGCTTCTATACACTACGTGTGAAAGGGACAGCGTACCCCAGGCACCTGGAGGTGTTGTTCCCGAAGGCCCCCGTCGGGGCTTCCCTAGCTCACACTCACCGGGCATACTCCTTGCAGGGGGGAAGCCCACTGCTCCTATGGGGGCAAACCTGCTGCCAATGCTGCTACCACCGTGGTAGCGACGCGCTAGAGCAACTGCTTTGTCTGTCGTTGGGTGACCCCTCTTGTTGCGCGGTGCCTGCCGAGCAGGAAACCCTAAGTGCAGCCCGGGGTCCCTAGGGGCGCACTCAGGTGTTTTTAAGTGCCTCAGAAGCTCACCTGGAGTAGGTGGCAGCAGCGAAAACAAGCAACGAGGCAGAAATGCCCTCTGAGTTTCCAAAAGAAATGCGCGAAATAATTCGTCAAGACTCCCCTGCAGCGATGAAAGCCCTACGGAGAGACGACTGTCTACTATGGCTGCTGCTTCTAGCAATGCAGAAACCGCGCCTTCGACACTTTTACCCTGTTGCAGTTCTTTGTACTCTTCTTGATTGCGCTGTTGCTTATCTGGAAGCTCTTGTGTTTGCTGCTCCGTCTGGCCTCTCTCCAGAAGGCTTTCTGCTGCCTCTCTGAGTTGCTGCATGTACCAGCACAGTTCCAGTGCTTGATGCGGGGAGGTAAGAGACTGCCGAAGCACCTGCACCAGCGCCTTGTCAGTAGCCAAGGAAATGCTTTTGTCACATGGTGTTGCCGCTGCGTTGTCCGCGACAGCCGAAGCAGCAACAACTGAGGCAGCAGCAAATGATCCGTTGGGGATTTGGCAGGTCTTGCCACCCTGTCCTCCAACTGCGCCGGGCGTCGCTGCATCGCCTTCAGCAATCGTTAAGGATCCTGAAACTGATGTACTCCGGCAGGCTTTCTTGGGAGCTAAAATTCCCACGCAGAGCTTCTCATGAGAATCGAAGAACTCTTGCCGCTCAGCCTGCTCGTATGGTGTTCCCCCGGAAGGGCCCACAGACGGCACGATTAGCACTTTGCAGTCATCGGCGAGGCGCTGCCGCTGCTGCTGTTGCTGCTGTCTCGCCTTCTGCTCATGCTCAATGCCCTTACTGAGAATGGGAATGACACTCATGATCGGGTATGGCCATCCAGTACTTCGCATAGCCCAACGGCGAGCACCAAGAGGACCTCTTTTTGTAGCTGCTGCTGCGGACGCTATTGGTGCTGTTGGCGCTGTTGCCGTTTGTTCAGCTGGTTCTCTCACTTCCACCTGATTGCTGTTTACAGCTGCGGCTGTATCTTCTGTGTGCCTCGCAACCGAGTGATGTGAAGCCAAGGAAGTGTGTATACATCTGACTGCTGTCGCCGTTGCTGCGCCATCAGCAGCAAGCTTACATACTAGCCGACGGGCCTCCTTCCCAAGCATTTCTTCTAAAGAAACGGCCGTTTCCTTTGCTGCTGCGCTGCCTTTTCTTCTAGGGATTAATCCATGATCATTCTCAAATGCTGAGGAGCAGCACTCCTTTGCTTTGCATTCTCGACATTGCTCCTCTTGTTCCTGTTTCAGCTGCCGAAGACATTCGCCGACGAAAGAGGGAAGCGGCGTTTGCTTCTTTTGTTCGGCTACAATACAGTCGTAGCAGTCCCGCGCAAATGCCTTCGATGCTCCCTCTGCCAAAACCAACAGCTCCTTCCAATGATTCTCTGCATTCCACGAGTCGGGTGCTGGAGCACACGCTCCTGCTTTTTCTGGTGCGTCCTGAACCGAAGTTGCTAGGTCGAGTTGGCGGATCGCCAAGTCTATCGCGTCCCCAGCTTCTGCAGCATCAACTACAGCGTTAGTACCGGGGACTTGCTGCTGTAAAGAGGCGGAGATCTGCTGAGGGTATCCTACAATGTCGATGCGTCCCCGGTTTTCAGCCGCTCCAAAGCGCGCGCAACTGCTACTAACTTTACCACGAGTGCCTATAGAGGGATATTGCGGGGTGTAGGCAGGTGCAACGGCAACACGAGCCGCAACATGCAGCAAAGCTTCTCTTGGCAAAGCCCACCGGCCTTCCACGGCCCCCTTTGATCCCTCGCGGGGCTCAAGTTGACATTCCCCGGCTTCCCAATGGCAACCAAGCTCATGCTGCGAGTTGTTGGCGGCGTTACTGCTGCAGGCGCTGCCACGTGAGCAAGTGTCACACAGCCCACGGCCCCACGGCGCACTGCAGAACCTACCCTTCTGCCAAACACCCCTCTCAACATCGGCAGCAGCTACTTCTTTTGCTATCGGTACAGTAGCTGGAGCAGCACGGTCAGCGGTGCACAAGTCAGGAGTGCCAGTGATATGGGCAACGGAAACATCCCGTGTAGCAGGGCTGGCAGTTCCAGCAGTCGATGCACGTGCAGTACAAAAGTTCCGCTCTCTGAGAGCACATGCGGGAGCAGCAGGTGTTGCAACAGCTTCATATGTGGCAGCCCCCGCTGTTGTCACGTGCCCAGCAGCAACAGGCGCAATTGTCGCAGGCTCCTCTATTGCGGGTATCGGAATACCAGACGCGGCAGCAACCTCCACAGCATCTGCTGGTGTGCCAGCTGCACGTTTAAGCACCCGTGGAGTCTCTTGCGGGTCGAGACACGCGACCTGCCGTCGATGTTGCATCAACGGCTGTTGCTCTTCCTGCTGCGCTCCCGACCGGTCCTGCTGATGGCACTGCCTTTTCGTCATTGCACGCTCCTGCCTCTGATGCGCCTGCAATTGTTGAAACTGCCGTTGCAGGTACTGCTGCTGCAGCTGCTGCTGTGCTCGCTGTTGCTGCAGCTGCTGCTGCAGCTGCTGACGCTGCAGGCGTTGCTGCCGTTGGGCCGCTTTGAGCAACTGCAGTTGCCGTTGCTGTTGCTGGATGTGCTGCAGGTGCTGCTGTTGCTGTTGCTGCTGTAAGAATTGTATCTGTGTCTGCAGCAGATGAAGCTGCTGCTGTTGCTGCTGTCGCAGCTGCTGCTGCAGCTGCTGCTGCTGCGGGCATTGTTGTTCAGGGTCTGGATGCTGCTGCAACCATTGCTGTGGCTGCTGCCGCTGCTGTTCGTCGTAGCGCTGCAGAGTACTTCGCTGCTGTTGCGGCCTCGAGTGATTCAGAAATTGATGCTGCTGCAGCGGGATAAAGGCAGTGTGCCTCTTCGCGCATGGCTGATTTACTGATCCACACGCTGGCATTTGTGTGGAAGCAGGCACATACGGGCTATCACGAGGCTGCGCTAGAACACTTTTCACGTCGGATACCGCGACTGCAGCTTGCTCCGCAGAACTAAAGGGTCCCCCTGGGCCTCTCACTGTTGCCGCAACTGCTGCTGCTGCGACCAACTGCTGCTGCGCAGCATTGTGATGAGCCCCAGCGACGCCTAGAACTGTTTCCGGAGCATTGGGCTCTCGTAATGCTAAGGCCGACTCAATGGGAAATGAAGAAGGGACGCCCAGTGAAGCCTCTACTCGCTGCTCGGCTGCGTCAGCAGCGGGCACCAGACCACGGCTAAGACAACGCAGCAGCTGCTCAACTCTTCCTAGGTCTGTCTCTTGAGGGGGACTTACTGGTGCTACCACTGCTGCTGACTGTGATTTTGCATCTAATGCTAAGCTCTCTCCTACTGTTGATGGTGATGATCCTGCTGCAGCTGATGGTGCTGCCTCAGCAGCTGCTGGAGATGCAGTTGTGGTACAGGGAAACTTGGCTGCCAGTGAAGTGGGGGCAGGTGGCACAGCCGTTGCAGCGATCCCCTGCACACTCCCCAAGCTGAATCTCGCGCCAAAAGTGGATCCACCTACAGAAACAGGGCTCCGTAGCAGGCTGCTTCCAACTGCAGGCACAGCAGGCGGGGGCCCTAAAGAGGGGAGTAATACCGTGGGACTGCCCAGTTGGAGGCCGTTGGTGAGACCGGCTTCAACAAGTCCCCCCAATACGGGGGCAATGCTGTTGGTTCTCCTCAATAATGCAGGCTCGTCAGCAATCCCTCCATACAAAGCGGGCAGGCATCCCATAAGGCCCCCATCATGGGCCCCTCGTGGCCACAGAGAGCCCTGTAGAACATTCCCAGTAAGGCCCAGGGAACCCGGGGGGGCTCTGGGACGACCTTGATGTAAGCCAGCCCGTTCTGCAGCAGCAGACTGGAGTGCGGCACTGGCAACTGATAAACGAGCAGCAGCGGCAGCAACTTGTGCGCTGACCCCGGCAGCTGACGGCAGCAAGCTTTGAGTGCCTCGAGGTACGGGCACGCCTTGGAGTGGTAATGTAGGGGCTACTATCTGGCTTTTCACGAACGGAATGACCTTGTCAGGTGCCAAGCCTGGCTGGGGGGACCCTCGTTCCTGCCCTAACTGCTGGCCTCTGACCCAAGCTGAAGGCGACGGGGGGCCCTCCATGGAGATTCAGTGCAACTTCGGGGGCCCCACTGCGGCCAGAACGCCCACCGGAAAAGGCCCAGGGGGCCCCAAAGCCCCCGGGGAGCGGTGGCTGGCGGGTGGGGCCCCCGAGCATCCGTTGCATTGCACTCGAGGGGTGGCCCCTGCCAGACGCTGTAAGGCAAATCAGGCAGGAGGAGGCTGGCAGTGCAACCGAATGAATTGCCTTTCGGTGGCGCACAGAAGGAAACGAGAATGTCGCACGAACAGAATTACGAGGGTCACTCACTTGCGGCGTGCAGCGAGAAAAGGGGCCTGCACATCCACCCCTATTCACCAACCATGGCTCTTTTCTGGGACAAAGCTTCCCAATGCATCACAAACAAAAACAAGTTACACCTCTGCAATCCATCCAGAAGGGCTAAAGCTGCACATGCAAACACTTTAGCCAGCTGCAGCTGCCGAAGGGCACGGGTCTGCGAATACCGCATCAAATCCACAAAAATTAGTTGTTCTTCATGGAGGAGGTGTTTATTCCAGCTCTTATTATAAATCATGGGAGCAAAGCTCACGGGCTCTGTAGTGTGCAATTCTGATATACATGATGTCCCCTGATGAGTGTGGGTTTTCAAGGTCTCACTCCCGCGAGCAGGCGTGGCAGAGCGGCCCGCAGAGGAGCCGTGCAGTGTCCGACGCAGTATAGCGTTTACAACTGCAGCAGACAAGTTTTAACAGAAGCAAAACACCCACTGAAGTGTTTCCACAACGTAGGAACTGGCAAGACTACCGTCGTACCCTTCAAAGCGCACGACCGCTGTAAGACGGGGACTTTCGCTTGCAGTTCTGTGTGCAATCCTGTGGAGGCTTTCTGAGGAATCTACAACGGAGAAATTCGCACGGACAGTTAAGAGGAATCATTTGTACTGGCCCTTGAACGTTGCTTTCTGCGCCCCGTCGCAAGCTGCAGGCATTTTGGGGTTTGTGGTGTGTCATGTGCGCGCTTTCAGAGTCCACTGCGCCTTCCTCTGTTGCCTCTGTTTCCTTAGTCAATATATTTGTCTGTTTCTAAGTAGGCAGCAGGCTTGCTGACACCCTATGAAGAGTGCCTCTTGTCTTTTTCGCTGGAAGCTGGGCCACGGGAGGTAAGAAGCCTTTAGCTACTTTGGGAATATGAGAATCTATGAGTGCCGAACAGTGCTGGCAAATGGGTCTTGTAACGGGACTTCGGGGATTTTCTACTGGAGAATCTACATGACAAGGAAAGTACGAAGCTTAACATATCAACTTGGGGCAGATCTACTCGGGCAACGTCATCAGGCCGCGAGCACATCCAACGTGCGCATAAACCATCGTAGCGTCCGCAAAACCATGAAGGGCAGCGTCTCATCCAGCGGCTCCAATTCTCATCAGAAAATTTACAGATGTTTTAAATTCTTGATTTTAACGTCAGGTCGCTCAGGACAATGGTACTTGCGACGATCTTGTGAAGCACTGTGGAGCTGCAACGCGGTGCGTGTGTAGTAGCCCTTGATTGGGGGTCGCTTCCTTCTGGAGTTTAAAAAAAAAGCTGCAGCTCATTGTATTCTCCTCCAACGTTCCAGAGCTCACTGCCTCGATGTATTGCGTGGTGCAAGATGCACTTGCCGTTTTTGGCATTCTTCAAGGTTCTTTCTCTGGGGCTTTGCGTTGCTGAAAGATGTGCCACGCATAAATCTAGTGAACGACCTGGCACATCGAAAGACCCTAGTAGAGAGCATGGATTTATGAAAGGAGGCAGCAGTGCTTACCTTTTCAGAAGTACTATTAGCCACTCACTATTGGCTACCCCCGCACAAGGGAGGCCGGCAGAGTCTGACAAAAATCTGAGTCCAGAATATTGTACATGGGAGCTATATTATGCAGAATGCATAGGGTAGTAGAGCCGATTTTCACCTGTGCGTGTGTCAGTTGCTCTATTCTGAATGCGCTGACAGTTTCTCACGTGGGCGACAGGTGTTGCTTTGCCTTCAGTGCGCACAGCTCTAACTGGTGTTTGCCATCTCTTGTGACATGCAAAAATGTGACATACTTTTGCGCATACAACGCGGTGAACTCGCTAAAAGTAGCTGCAAATGTGCAATAAGCAGTTAGTGGAAATCATGCAACGCTTTTCGTTGCATTGGTGTGAGACAATCCGCAGAGAGTTCCCATGAGTACGCGCTTCTTCGACTATGAAAATCTTGAAAGCCAGACGCCATCCTTCAATCCCCTGAAGCAAACGGTTTAGGAACGAGTAGACTCTCCAGAAGAAGGCTCATCCATGCTGGACACTTCACCCAACTAGATTACGTTTGGTATCATTTTCAAGCGCGTCAGTACACTGTGTCCCCACAAGTGGACAAATCCATTTATTTTTCATCATGGAAAAATATGACTTTATACAATCGCCTCACACGAGACAACCTATGTTTCCTGTGGTATTTGGCAGTAGAGTGCTCTTCGACCTGAGGAAAACCCTGTACTACGCTGACTTAATTGACTCTAATGGCTTCTGACTCTCCCGGATTCACATGCGAGAAAAACGTGCCGGCAACGCGCGTAACCTCAGCCTCAATGTGGACAGCCGAAATGGCGGGAATGGCGCGTCCTTCGCGCGTCTGCGAATTGCAAGTATTGAAACAGGTACTGAAGACTGAAATTTCAACAGAAGTCTCCTTTTAAAAATCAAAGCTGATTTTATTCAATAGTTGGGCACTTGACACGAACCCATTATAGAATGATCGCGTGGGAGACAGCGAAAAGGCGGCGCCGATGGTCACCCCCAGGCCACGCCGGACAATAGGCAACTGTGTTGAACACCCTGACCACCTCGCGTCCCTCCGAAATCGTGTTCTGAAACCTTCACTAACAGGACCCCAAAATAAAATCAAAGGCTATCACACTATTTTACTTCTTAACCGTTTACTGGGGCTACAAGAACAAGTTTGAAGATGAGGACTATCCTAGCCACCCTAGTCGGTTTCACAGCCTGCGCAGCCGTTGCTGCAGACGGAGCACCTGAGTATCCTTCTCAGCTTGCAGTTGAAATCGATCCAGAAGCGATTATTGCGATCCAGCAAGATGCAAACGCCGACCCACGTCTCTTTTTCCCACTGAGCGGGCTTGTCTCCGCCAAACTTGCCAAAGTCTTTCAACCCAACATATACCCAACCCCTCCTAGTCCCCAGACAACTTACCACTTTCACCTCCATCCTCATCCCCATTATCCGCATCCTCAGCCAAATTATCCTCATCCTCACCCCCATCATCCTCATCCTCATCCTTATCCTCATCCTCATCCCCATCATCCTCATCCTCATCCCCATCAACATCCTCATCGTCATCCCGACCATCATCCCCACCATCATCCTCACCATCATCATCATGAACATAATGTTCATGTGCCTCAACATCAGCACGCTCAACACAACGGTCACCAGAACAACGGTGGCCCAGCTCATTATCACCATGACTACCATTTTGCGCATCCTCATCAAGAGAACCAGCATCACCGCGAGGAAGAGCAGCTTACCGACATCAACTAAGCTATTGGTCGGGAATTAAGGTGCTTAGTCTCAGTAGTCAGTACAGTACTAGGCGACGTCTGAGATCTTCATGGCAAAGAGATACCAGCCACCAAGCTGACTCGGCTATGTTTTATTAGACAAATTTAAATTTAAAGGGCTCCAATTTCAGTCTCTGCAGGTCTGCCCCTGAAAGCACGAGAGGGGCCTAAAGGGTGATTGGCGCTGCAAATGCAGCTACGAAGTGCCATTTTAAATACGGCACAGGTTCTCCACGAACTATTTTTTCATCAACCCTTTCATAAGCGTTGCACGAAGCATCGACACTAAGGAACATCACTGCTACAGTGCATTTAGAACTCCCTACGATGTTAGAGAATACGAATTGTGATCATTTGCTCCAAAGAGGACCTCACTACGAAGCATTTCACAGAGATCACTGTTGCACGTAGCCATTAAACAGGAGTTTTAGTCAAATGTCCGATGGCAAGATGATAGTGTTCCTGCTACGCTGCTTGCTGCTATTAGCGTGAGACTTCAGCCCCATGGGTAGCGAGGTGATTACCGCTGACGTCTCCTGGGGCTAAAGTCCCACATCCAAAACAGCAAGCAGATCGTAAGACTTCCAAGCGACAGACGGTTGCTGCCGCTGTCCTCAGCAATAAGTTGGAAATCAATCTGGCGGAACGAAGGAAGTGGCTAGGAGCGGACTCGTCCATGATGAACTCTCCATCGTATGAATTTACGTTTGGAATCATTTTCAAGCGTGTCAGTACTGTGTCCCCACAAGTGGACAAATCCATTTATTTTTCATCATGGAAAAATATGACTTTATACAATCGCCTCACACGAGACAACCTATGTTTCCTGTGGTATTTGGCAGTAGAGTGCTCTTCGACCTGAGGAAAACCCTGTACTACGCTGACTTAATTGACTCTAATGGCTTCTGACTCTCTCGGATTCACATGCGAGAAAAACGTGCCGGCAACGCGCGTAACCTCAGCCTCAATGTGGACAGCCGAAATGGCGGGAATGGCGCGTCCTTCGCGCGTCTGCGAATTGCAAGTATTGAAACAGGTACTGAAGACTGAAATTTCAACAGAAGTCTACTTTTAAAAATCAAAGCTGATTTTATTCAATAGTTGGGCACTTGACACGAACCCATTATAGAATGATCGCGTGGGAGACAGCGAAAAGGCGGCGCCGATGGTCACCCCCAGGCCACGCCGGACAATAGGCAACTGTGTTGAACACCCTGACCACCTCGCGTCCCTCCGAAATCGTGTTCTGAAACCTTCACTAACAGGACCCCAAAATAAAATCAAAGGCTATCACACTATTTTACTTCTTAACCGTTTACTGGGGCTACAAGAACAAGTTTGAAGATGAGGACTATCCTAGCCACCCTAGTCGGTTTCACAGCCTGCGCAGCCGTTGCTGCAGACGGAGCACCTGAGTATCCTTCTCAGCTTGCAGTTG